TAATGAGCAAAAACATGGGAGATATATATGCTATTAAGCGCATGTTGGCTAGCAAATTCAATATGAAAGACTTAGGAGTTGCTGATGCGATCTTAGGAATCAGAATTCACAAGACTCCACAAGGTCTAGCATTATCACAGTCTCACTACATTGAAAAGGTACTTGACAAGTTCAAGTATTTGGATTTCAAAATTTCCAAGACTCCAATTGACGTGAGTTATGCACTTCAAAAGAATGAAGGTGAAAGTGACTCACAACTGGATTATGCAAGAGTATTGGGAAGTTTGATGTATATCATGAATTGTACGCGACCAGATATAGCATGTGCTATTAGTAAACTGGGTCGGTTTACAAGTAATCCCAATCACATACATTGGATGGCAATTAAATGAGTTTTGGGGTATCTCAAACATACCCAAAATTACGCTTTACATTATAACAAATATTCCTATGTGATCGAGGGATATAGTGATGCAAATTGGATCACTGGATCATCTGAAGTTAAATCCACGAGTGGATATGTTTTCACAATTGGGGGTGGAGCAGTGTCTTGGAAATCATCCAAACAAACGTGCATCGCCCGTTCTACAATGGAATCTGAATTCATAGCTTTAGATAAGGCCGGTGAAGAAGCTGAATGGCTCCGAAATTTCTTGGAAGATATTCCATTTTGGCCCAAACCTTTGGCACCTATTTGTATACATTGTGATAGTCAAGCGGCAATAGGCAGGGCAGGGAGCGTTATGTATAACGAAAAATCTCGTCATATACGACGGAGACACAATACCGTTAGACAACTACTCTCTAGAGGTGTTATCACAATTGACTATGTAAATTCAAGAGATAACATGTCGGATCCACTTACAAAAGGCCTATCTAGAGAGGCAGTTGAAATATCATCAAAGGGAATGGAATTAAGGTCTAGGACAAGTCATCATGGCGGTAACTCTACCTAGCAGACTGGAGATCCCACGAGCTAGGTTCAAAGAGATTAAACAAAGTTATGAATGACGGTTCAACATTGTCAAATAACTCAACCCATTCTCGTGATGAAGACAATGTTCAGAAATCTAGGTAAAGCATTAAGGCTTTTCGGCGATTCAACAAAGCTTAAAGATTTTTTAATGATTTGCTAAGTCTGACAGGATATGACCAGATAGTGTGTCTATAGGATTACATGTTTAAAAATCACCTATGTGAGTGTGAAGTGTAAGCCGTTTAAAGGAGAGTGAAAGTAAAGGCCATTCTCTAAGCACTCATAAAACCAGACGGTGTTCATGGCTGAAACGAACACAATCGTGAGAACCATAGATGGTTAAGGATTGATTGTGTGACTTATATTGTCTAGGTATACAACAAAGCTCGACGGTTCAAAGATATCAAATCTACCGATTTACCGAGTATATCCGATATAAGTTCACTACGGAAAGTTCAAAGGGAAACCTACTTATCTAGATGCAATTAATTCTTGCATGTAAAACACACACGCGTCCTTGCATTCCTTTATTTTTTAGCAACTCCCCATTCATGTGGAGGATTATTGGGATTTTAAGCTTATGTAGCTTAAAAGATGGTGAATGAGAAATGGAGGGGAAAATAAAATATTTGAGTTTCCCTCCTTGGCAAAGGGACATTGTCTCATATTGGAGGAAGAAAAGGCTTTTGATGGGTATATATATAATTGCTCTTTTTCTAGCTCTTAAAGAGTTAAGAAGAAGGCAAACCTCGCGCCGTCGCTCGCTCGCTCGCTCGGCTTCAGTTGGATTTAGATTTGATCAAAGATCGATTGATTGATTAATCTTTTTAGACAAAATTCCTTTCAATTATTTAATTAATTAATTAAATAATTAACGAAAAATTCAATCCGGAATAACCCATGACCCGCGACCTGGTCCGGTCAGGCCCGTTTTCTTTCCCGAGTTATTTTAAATCCATTTTCCCGCAATATTTCAAACAACCCTGTTCCAACAGCCATGGCTGTTTCTGAAAGGTTGCAAACCTTTTTAGAAATAATGCCAGCAACTCTATAAATAGAGTTTGAATCCCAGAATCTTTCCTTATGAAATTTTCTGAGCTTCTTCTTCTTCTTCTGCACAAAAAATCCAGTGTGTTTTACAGACTTCGAGTGGCTCGCCAACACTCCGGTGAGTTAAATCGTTCTATCCTGGGAGGATATATTGCAGCACCTCGGGCACTTGAGGGGAATAATTTCCTTAAGGACACACTGTGTATTCAGTGGGCTCGATTTATTCCTATACTGTTTTTCCAGAATTTATTTCGTTAAACAAGTATTACTAACTTTCTGTTTTATTTATATATTTCAGAAAGTTTAATTGTTTATTACAGCAATACAGATTTATAACAATATCCAATTTAAATTCCTTTTTTTTTTTAACTTTTAAATTTTTGAAGGATTTTTAACAAAAGAGGTTTACTTTGCTTTGGACAATAACGTTAGTAGTTTTGATTTAGTTAACTTGTTACATGTCGGTTGAAGTCTAAATACGAGGACTTTTACTTAATTCAAATACGGAAAGAATATAATAACTAAAATTTTAGTTGATTTTAAATTCCTAAAAATGGGAAAAATAATAAATGACTATTTTGTCTAGTGTGAAACTAATTTAGAGGGTATAAAAGACGAACGATATTTCGCTAAGGATTTTCGTGCTTTTAATATAGTATAGATTAACAAACAATTAAATACTCGGATTCATTACTAAAATGAATATTAGTGAATATAGTTATTTGTAAGTTGTTACCAAATAATAATAACTATTAAATTATAAGTTGCGTAATCCACAAATACATAGATATTGTTATCAAACAAAATAAAATAAATACAGACCAAACAAAAGTTAAAATACGAAAAAAAATTCGGAAGGAAGGTTCTATCAAATTTACAGCCATGACACGATATTAGTGTTTTTAATTTTTAAAATATTATTAATAAAGAGAGTTTTAGACGATTCAAAGGGTTGTTAATGAATTTTTGATCTACTTACAAAGCTAATTACACATAATTGTACAAGAACTTTAGGATAAGTTCGCGCATAAAGCTAAGTCCAAGTACGTTATACAAGTGTTTCATCCCAATATCAGTCCCAATTTCACCTAACTCCTATTTGGAAAGTGAAAATAATAATAATTAAGATTCATAACAAAAATACTCATCACTTTTTAACATTCTGAATTCTTCCTCCTTTAAATTAAACTCTATATATATTGGAAGTGTTGATATTTTAAATTTTAAAAGCACTCAAGATTTACATCATATGAAATATTTTCTTATTTGAATAATATAACGATGACCATAATTCTTTTTTTTTTGGTCATACTATGACTATAATCCATTTAATATTATTTTTAAAGCTTTTTAATTGTTTACTCAAACAAAATTATCTTCTTCGTGGATTTTTGTATAGTATTTTTAAACAACACTCAATAATCAGAACAAATAACAAAAAATAATTAAAAATATAGAAGAGGCGGAGAGATGGAGGGAGAAAAAAAGTCAACTACATAACTTCGATAGCCAGCAGAAACACCAAGAATCAAAGTCATATTTCTCATTTATTGAGCAAGCTAAATATGATCAACATTTATTATTTTCAGTAACTTATATTTTAAACAAATTTAGTTTTATAATGAAAGCATATTATTACCGACGTAGGTACACGCGCAGAGCGCGTATCATAAGTTGGTTGGGCTTGGTATGGTCTTTGGTTAAATTGTCAAAATTGATCAATTTATTCAACCCTTTTATGTTCCATCCACCCTAGAAGAATTGCATTATTAGGGTTGATCTGTACGAGGGAAAATAATTAATCTCGAAATTAAATTTAAGACATGTTTATCCTAAATTTGATTGAGATAAAATTATGATATAACTAATCTCAGAATTATTAGTTAGTAATATTTTATTATCTCGTGGGAGGATAAGATAACTAATTAAGGGATACCTTGTGACCCCTTGCTATTTCAATAAAAATATTATTGTTACTATAATTATGATTCTTCAAAATATAAGAATTGTGATTTAGAATTTATGTAATTCTTAAATATTAAAATAATAATAAATTGCAAGTGTCTCAACATTTGTGCTCTTAACTTTTTTGTCATTTGGGATGATTAGAATATAAATTAAATATCACAAAATATTATATAGCTTAATATAATATTTATTACTTTTTTACAAAAAATATTATACTCGATTAATAGTAATTAATCAGGCAGGATATGGCGAAACTCCAGATTTCCGAGGACATGACACTTGATAGGAAGATGTGGAGGTCGAGTATTAGGGTTGTAGGTTAGGAGGTAGTTGAGTCGTGCCTTACTTCGTACCACTGTGGGACTAGCCTTGTAGGGTTTTTGTCTAAGATAGCTATTGGCAATGTTGTGGCTTACTATTTCGCTTTTCAGTGCATGTCCTATTTACTAGCTATCGCTTTTGCTTTGCATCTTTCTTCTAGATTTCATGGTGTTCCTATTTTCCTTATGATTGTTGTGGTGATACTAATATTTACTAATATTGTCTCCCTTTGCTTTGCATCTTTCTTCTGGATTTCATGGTATTCATATTTATCCTATAATTGTTGTTGTGATACTAATATTGTTTCCTTTTGTTTTTTTGTCATTTTGTCTTTTTATTTTTTTGAGCCGAGGGTCTTTCGAAAACAGCCTCTCTACTTCTTCGGGGTATGGGTAAGGTCTACGTACACACTATACTCCCCAAACTCATTAGTGAGATTTTACTGGATTGTTGTTGTTGATTAATAGTAATTAATTGATCATATATTATTCAAACTCGTGAGTCGAGACAATATGTTTTGAACCGTAGCTTGGTGGAAAACTAGATAACCACAAAAAAAGAAGAAGAAAAGAAGTAATTTCTTCTTTTATTTTATCAAAAGTAGGAAGATATTTTAATATTTACTTTCCAAGATTACAAATCAGATAGGCCTTATTAAAGTATATCAAAAAATGGAAAAGCCAAATTAGTTTTAAATCAAAATCGTACGAAGACGAAAAAGTTGCTGTGAGAGAGAGGGTTTAGAAGAAAAGCTGGTTTGACAGAACATTGACACTATACATACAAAAAATATAAAATGAAAAAAGAAGGCGACTTTATAACCCAAAGTTTCAAGATTTTCTTAAAGAGAGGCTAAGAGGGGAAGAATTTTCCTTTTTGTATTTAATATTTAGGGAATTTTATTTGGGTTTCTTTTTATAGGAGAAAATCAGAAAGTATTGATTTTTGTTGTTTGTAGGATGATGGTGTCGATGAGATACATAGTAGTATTGTGTTATGTATTTTCAGCTTTTGGATGCGTATTTTCATCGTATAATACGAATACGTTTTTCTACGATCTGAGGTCTCAATGCCCTCTTCGGATCTCCTTTCCACCTCCTTTGCTTTTTGAGGTAATTTAATTTCTTTATCTCTTTCTTTTTTCTGCGGATTTTTTGTTTTTTTGGTTGCAGTACATATCTGGTATTTTTTATATTTAGGTTTTGTTGATTAATTGAAATGGGTTGAATTTTTCAAAAAAATTTGCTGTTTGGTTTTGCTAAAGATTTCATTTTTTTGAAGTGGTTTGCTTATTTTGGTGATTATTAGGGGTTTGAAGTTGTTATAGGATTTGTGAGAATCTTTGCTGGGGTTTTTTCCCCTTGATTAATTGGGTTTATTTTGTCAATAGCTAATCATGGTTTGATTATGACTTGTGATTAAGTGATTTTTCATTGAGTTGCTTCTGTTTTTGTTGATTTCATTATATTTGCTTTAAAAGATTGAATTTTTAAAGTTAATTTGGGGTTTGAGATTATCTTATGATTCAGTAGATAAGGTATTGGGGAAAATACTGCAGCTTATATCTGCAGATTTTTCAAGTCATGGTAATGTGGAGATACTTGTATTCAGATGTGCTGTCACTTTTTTGTTCGAGGGCAGTTTTATAACTCTCTTGTTGCATCATAGCTCATTTTAAGTACTTTCAATAGCTAATCATGGTTTAGTTTTGCTTACTCATGGAGTTGCAGCTGATTGTTTAGGAGCATCTTTTGAAAAATATGAATTTGGTAATGTATATTGCTGTAGACGTTGAAAAGATTACTTAAGTCACCGGTGATATGGAAATTCTATCATTAAGTATTGAACATTCCTGTTTCAGGGTCCTGTTTGTAACTCCTTGTTGCAGCATAGCTGATCATTTGAGCATAGTTTAGATGGAAAAACTAAAGATTTTCTTTGAATTAAGAAATTACAATAGAACGATTTTTTTTATTGAGGATTGGAGAAACAGATCAAAGTAATCTGGAGTATTAAGTTGTATTGGTAGTCCCCCCAAACATGTTTTGACTGAGGTGTAGTTGTTATTGTTGTTGTTGATAGCCTCCCCATCATTGCAGAGGCGCCCATGGGTAGGATACTGTTTGATGGAATGACATTTACTTTGTTTTTGAAGATATGTTTGGAAATTGTATTTCATGTCTCGAGAGTAGACAGTGAAGTGTAAATAGTGCGTTTAGAAATATTGGTTTTTGGATATTTTATCATGAATATATGTATTAGATAAAAAAGATGTGTAAGTGATATCAGCAGCCTCCCCTCCTCCCCTGGAGAAGCCTGTGAGTTGGAAAAGCTCAATGTCATGTGATTAATTTTGTTTTGAAACTTTGCCAAGTGTTGCAAAGTGTATTCTATTGTTTCGAGAGTAGACAATGAAGTGTGCATAGAGAGGAAAACTTGTGTTCGAAGAGTGTTAGGTGAACTGGTCAGCTTCTGTTGCATTTATAAATTGTTTTTTGTGGACGGGACAATTTTAGGCTCAGACTGTGACTCATGTAATGTCCTTTAGGATGAGTGCTCATATGGACATCCGCTACTAATGATTATTTTCTTTTATCAGCAAACATCCGCTGATAATGATTTGACTGATTGTGAAACATCAATCATGGCATTTTATCTTGGCTGCAATCAGAATGTGGCGTTATTTCCACTCTAGGTGAACATTAGAATGTTTTTCAACAGTATTAGGGAAGGGGGAATCCACAAGAATAAGTTTCTATTTAACCTCCTCTGGCTCCATGCTTCTCTTGTCCTAGTAAATCCACACTTGCTATGCAAGTTAAAGCAAGGCACTTATATTACAACTTCCTGGTTCCTACAAGCTAAAGATGGCAAGAGCTTGGTTTGAAGGGTGACAATGGCATGTATATGAGCCGAAATAGAATTAGGAAAAGAACCGGCTTTCAGGTTATCAGGTAAGTGAATGAAGAAGTGGTCATCAAGTGCTTAATGAACGGAGTAGTTGGTAGTCAAGCTCTATTATGCTGAATGGATGTTTACCTAACTTGCGGTTGGGGCTTCAAATGGTTTTGTAATGTTGGGATCATCTTTGAAAAATAGATTATTCAACTTATAATGTGGGTTCTCTAGATGATGATGTACCAAATAAATGTCCATCAGTGTGCGATTGTTTGTGTCTCAGCAATATACATCACTTTGGTTCTGGGAATGCTCCTTTTTGGGGGGCTTGTTATGTGTTGAATGCAACAGGCTTATTCTCTCTTTGATGTGAAAGCTTTTTTATTCGTAAGTTGTTTTCAAAATTTAGCTTCTACCTCCATAGCCGGTCTTTTAATTCCTCCTGGATACTTGTAAGGAATGTTTATTCTTTTCTTACATTAATTCATCTCCAGCCTGAAGTGTGTGCAACCTTGTTATGCAGTTTGTGCTGAATGGATGGATCTCATTTAGATCTCCTTTTACAGTTTTCCAAAGTTTACATTTGTTATAATATCATTTTCTTTCCATTTGTTCCTTGGGGCAAGAGAGCTAGGTTGTGTTTTCTTTTCTTTTTCTTTTATGGTGTAGGAGAGGGAATTGTGGACCTAATTTCTCATAAATAACTTTATAATTCTTCACGTAAACTACGTTCTTCTATTTTTTATGGCATGCATCTTAATATAGTTATTTTTCTTTTTATCCTGATTTTTGTGCCTTTATTCAATCTCCTCACAAAAGACGGATGGAGAATCACTTGACAAGGCTCTAGGGTCCAGTCAGAAAGATGATGTTACTGCTATTTTGTTCTACGCCTCGTGGTGTCCTTTCTCTACAGATGTTAAATCAAAGTTTGGTGCTCTGAGTTCCATGTTCCCGCGAATCAGACATGTGATGGTTGAGCAATCAAAAGCCATGCCTAGGTGGGTTCAATTTTTGCTACATTATATCTTTTCTGAGTATGTTAAAGCCGTGCCATCTCTATTAGCATTTTGCTCCACCATTAGAACTTGTGCAATACAGCAGTAACTGCTCACAAGGTGCCATTAAAATTTATGAAAACTGCTGATCCCCGACTCCCCTTTATGCCCCTTTTAAGAATACTTAATCAGTGCTGGATATTAAATAATTAAATAGTTGAAAAAGTGCTGAAAGCATGCCATCTATGACTGATACTGGCAGTCCAAAGAGTCTAAACCGGTAAAATTTCCACATATAAGGCCGTATACACACTAGTCACCTCGTGTACGCATCTTTCACGTAATTCAAATAGTACAATCAAACTAATCCCTACGGGGTAGTTACCCCACACAAAGAGCTCCAATAGCATATATTTAAGTTGTTGCAGTTAAAAAGCTCGTAGTTGGACTTTGGTATGGGCCGGCCGGTCCGCCCTAGGTGTGCACCGGTCGTCCGTACCTGGGATGTCGTCCCAACTCTACCTTTTTGTTTTCAGGATGTGGATGTACTGCATGGAAATTTGTCTAGGGAAAAGTATGAGATTGAAACTGTCAGATAAATATACCTTATCAAAAAAGTAAATATCAGATGAATATTTCCTCGTAGTGACAGAAGCCTTTTTGAGTCCTTACCTACAAATGCTTTCAATTAAATAAGTACTATTATGTGCATCAATAATAAGGCATATGTGCTACATCATACAGTTTCCCCAATAAAAGGAAAATTGATAAAAGTATTTAGCATTTTCCTCTCTCCCAAGCTTCTCTGCTCTCTTTCACCTGTTTCTCACAATTCTAATCATGTGTCTTGCCTCTCACCTGCAGTGTCTTCTCCAGATATGGAGTTCACAGTTTTCCAGCAATACTGATTGTGAATCAGACAATGAGAGTGCGGTATCATGGCCGGAAAGATCTTCAGTCTCTTGTGAACTTCTACAAGAGGACTACAGGTGACCTTTCCAATTGCTTGCCTATATTCTCTTTTTGCCTGCTCTTGGGTGGCATAATAGTAAGAGTTCATCCTTACTGTTTGGAGGAGTGAGCATTTTTCATCTTTTCCAAAACACTAGCCAAGCCTAAAATTAGGTCATTGCGCTTTGATTAATGTGGTGGAATGGTTTTAGCTTTTCAATTTCATTACATTTGGTTTTCAGCCCGGTGCCATTTTTTTAAGGAAAAGATGGAGCGGATCGGCCCCAAAAAACTGAATTCTGATTTTAAAATGTTTTACACTTAGCCTTTGCTCATAGCTTAAGCCAATTAATATTTGCAATGTGTGAGGATTTTTCTTAACTTGTTACTTGTGTTTGGTTAACTACTTTACTGACTTGGGGTTCTTTGTTTTAAGTGGCATACCTAAACCCTGTATGCACACACTATATCTATATACATAAAAGTTTCTAGCCTTTCGATAAAGCCCCTCTCTCTACTGAATATAGTTGTTTCAGGCCGAACAATAACAAGAGGTTCGGATCCAGCTGAAAAACGGAATGGAATACTCTAAAATGCATCCTACCTTACCTTATTATTAGAGAAAGGGGAAAGGGCTTTTTCTATTTTGGCAAGCCAGGGTTCTCCCCTATAACTTTTCCTCACTTTGGCACTTTTGGCAAAATTGAATGTTGAAGCAAAGAAAAGCTAAAATCGGTAACCCCAGTATATTCTTCAATTTAAGGTCCATACAATTATATTGAAGCACAACCCCGCCCTACTTGACATTTAGATTTGATCCCAAGCTGAAGATCCCACAACTAAAAACTTAACTAGAATCTGAATAGTAGTGGGCTTTACATTCTTATTTCCCTTTTCTGTTTCATTTTACTTTTGCATTTTTTTCAAAATTAACATGACCATGTGATATATAGTTAGGTAAAAGTAATCAAGTGGCTGTAGCTTGTAGGCATCTGGAGGATCAACATTTAAGATACTGGAGAACTAGATGAGCTAAACATTAGCTGCTAAGCTGACTGTAGATTAGCAAAAGGCATGCCTGCAATTATTTGTCGCATGTTTGCATAACAGAAAGAACAAGAATTAAGTTAGGATGAAATAAGTCAGCAAAGACCAAGTATATATCCACATCCCAATCAAACTGATGCATAGAAGTGAGATTTGGTATCCTTGGGAGTTTCACAGATGGACATTCCTTAATATGAGACTGCTGAAATGCCAAGAAAATTCGCTGTAGCTTGTCGAATGAACACCAGTAAGGGCCCACCTGCCCCCAAAAATGACTGCTTTATTTAGTAAAGTCTAAAATTTGAAGTGCTAATTTGGCATATATACAGGGTTTAACCATGCATCCACATGCTATATAAGTAATAGAAATACTTATTTTTATGGAATGCAACAAATCAGTGCTTTACACTTTCTCATTTTCAACTTAATGGTATAGAATTCACACATTTATGCTTGTTTTCAGGGCTTGATCCTGTGATAGAAGTGAAGAAACATCAAATTACTTATAAGACAGATGGTCACAAAGCTTTTCAGCAATGGAAAGGGTCCTCTTTAAGGGAATTGCTCTTGAGTGAACCTTACCTTGTACTGTCGATTGCATTCCTATTGTTTAGGGCGTCCCTTTATTTCTTTCCTGGGTTGGTAGCTCATGTAGTAGCATTGTGGGTTGCATATATTCCTCATCTAAACATGGGAATCTTTGGAGAGTCAAGGCAGCTTTTGGGGCGCGTTTTCCACGTGATTGACCTCAAGAGGGCTTGGAGCAAGCTAAAGCTGAGCAAAACAAGAAACTTTCATAAAGGTGCTAGGAATGCTCGAGTTTGGGCTTCGTCTTTGGCATCTGTTTCGCTGGGAGAGACGTCAACAGCAAGAGTGTCCTCCTCAGGAGACTCGTAAGCCACTACTCGTTGTCTCTTGCATCGGATTATCACTAAAGCCGAGAAGTTAGATCTCAGAATCTGGCTTCTACAGCAAGTAGAGTGGTTTTCTTCATTCCCTTTTATTTCTTCCCCTTTGGGTTAGTTGCTACGGCCCCATGTTGTATCTTATCTTTTTCAGAAAGTTTTCAAATACGCAGGTAACCCAAGCTCTTGTGCTTTAGAGTTTAGATGGAAACATGACAACAATCTTGTAAATTTTGAGAACAGAGGGTTTCTATGTATATTATTACATGATGAAAGAGGGAGACTTGTAACAGTGCATGAATTTGTCTGTGATGGTATATTGTCATTTGTCTGTGCATGAATTAGAGTTTAGATGGAAACATGACAACAATCTTACTTAAGCTTGGATGTTTCTTTGAGCTTGAATGCCAGGGTAAACATTTGTTATCAATATCTTGTGTTTATTGTTTACTTTTGTGGTTGTCATCAGAAATAAGAAATGAAATTCATACCATACAAAGTAAGAAAAGTAACATACATGGATATCCCAACTAATAGTTCAAGTGATGTAAATCTTGACCTATTTCTTAAACGAACAAACTCACTCGAATAAAGATAAAAAAGGCATTGATAGATAAATATGTATACTTAGTATAATCTAGGGATAAAGGTCCAAACCAACCAACCAAGTTTTGAAGCTGCATTTTGATGATGATGAAGAATTATTGAGGGATGGATTAATCATATGTTTAGGCCTTTTCTCTTTGCCATTATTTACTCCCCCATGTGCACCCCAAATGAAATATAGATAGACATCCATCATGTTTAATCAAAGATATTAGCATATTGATTAGGAGGAGTATCTTCTCTTTTGTAGCCATGTGGTGGTTTGAATTAGTGGATTCTAGCTTCAAACATTTTGCCTAAAACCAAAAATTCTAGGGCTTTTTAATTTTAGCAGTGATCCTTGACATTTTTGTGATGGCTCCAAAAGTTCCTACTTTTGGTTTAAGTGAATTATATTCACACATGGAAACCAAAACAAGCAAATCTAGCAACATAAAGAGGAGATCATCCCATTAATTTATTTCTAAAGAAATAGGAAAGTTAATACATTAAGGTAAATCTTTATCAAATGAGATTTTGTGGCAGCAGCTCATAGGAAAAAAGATTTAAATATAAAGTATCAGAACACCTAGCTAGCAGCCTTATTCAATGGTGGACCCAAGATTTTTAGGTCATGGATACTCATTTTGGAGTTGCTACTAATCACAAAAGAATGTTCAGTCAAGTTACTTGTATGTTAATGCTAGTTTCCTAAACAGTGGCGAAGCTAGGAATTTTTCAAGGTTATTTAAATTTGGAAGAAGTGAAAAAAATTTCCGACAAATGGTGTTCAATATGTGTTATATATATCTAAAACGTAATATTTTACCTATATACACAATACAATTTTTTCGACTTGTGATCATGTGGCTTCGCCACTGGTTACAGGGTTTGGTTAAAAATAGTAAGTGCCCGAGCACATAAGAGTCTCTTAGATTTGAACGCAAAAAACCTTCTACCTACGAGCGATTATATTTTTTTACTGTATTTCTCATTACTCATGTCAGCATTCTCATGTAAGTCCATCATTGGCCAAATTTGGTAGCTATAAATTTATGAGATGAGTTGTCCATATTTTGCACAATTTGGTGGCCTTTCATTGAAACTTTCAATAAAGAGCACAACTTGTTAGTTCACATATACAACTCAAGAGTCACCATCAATTGATGCCCAAAGAATTCTCTTCAATGGCTCCTACTCAACAAAAAATATCACTTAATTTATATGGCATCTATTCAATCTCACTTCTGCTTCTTCTATTCCTAAATTTACTTGACCATTCAAATAATTAGAAATTTGAACTTCGCCACCCCTTTTGTCCCATTTTACACTTCTCTCAAGTAATTACCTAATCACTGGACATTGTAGGGCTTCATTTTTTTTTCCTTCAAATATATTACGTGGATAAGGATTTGTTTTCATGTAAGGCTACCACTTTAAACGAATTTAGAAATCTCTAGCTGCTTTTTTTTGTTTTTTATTTTTATAATTGGGGTGTTCGTGCAAACTCAGCTCAATCTAGCTCTTTTTCCTTTTCACCCCTCTCTGTTTATACAACTAATGATTCCTTACATGTAAAACGAGTAGTTATCCCTTTGTTCACTTTTACTTGTCCAGTATTCTAAAAATAAATTTTTATTTTTACTTGTCACTTTTAGCATATCAAGATTAGATAATTTCCTTTTTTCTGTTATACCACAACATTAATTCTAAAAATATGCATCAATTAATGTGTATCATGATAAATTATGCATTTTATTTATTATTTATTAAGAGGCGTAAAAAGTCAAAACATCACAAATAAAAGCAAGCTGAGTATTAACTTGCATGCTGCTCATGTGGTCTTTCTTGAAATTCTTAGATGATCGTAACCTTATGAGGTTTGAAAATGCATATGTTTGGAGACTTGAAATTCACATTTCTCAGAATAATCATTATTGTACATTCCACTGCAACAGCAATTAGTGGAATCACTCTCAACTTGTTACTTTAATAAAGAACTTCACCTTACAAAAGGCTCCAAAGGTAGTTCAACTAGTTAGGCCTTTAATTTAAAGTAAATTTATAGGTTTGGAGTTCTTTCTAGAATGAATAACAAAAGAGGTTTAAAAAGTATATATCGTCCAACATATGATGCTTATAAAGATTCTTTTTCGTCAATTTATTTTTCTCAATTTACTTTGAATTGATTAGAATGTGCCTTTGCTTTCTTGAGATTTTTGCAATTCGGTACACTTTTAAGGAAACTAAGCATATTAAAGAAGTATTTACCTTCCAAATTAGCTTCAAATATACTAGGGGGAAAAACATCATACTATAATTTTAAGGTAAAGATGTCGTTTGATCACTTTTGCAACATATAATTATCTCTACCATATTAAATGAACGAATCTTAAAATAGTGTCATCTTTAAAAGCTAAATAATTAAAGAAATGAAATTATGAAGCCAAACACTAGAGTCAAGATCTCTTATCAATAGTAATAACCTAAAAACTCACTAAAATTTCAAATATATTACACAAAAATACATGAAACTAACAAAATACAATCAAAGAGTCACTCCAAAACAAAACAAAACAAAATAATGAAATTACGAAACGACCCTCATGATTTAATCAAGAATACATGGAGCTAAATTAGAAGAGAAGAGCAAAAGCAAGAGCAACAAACGAAGCGAAGAAGGTGGGGACGAAGATGGTGGCATCGGAAGCCGGAGCAGGTGCCGGAGAATCAGCGGCGGCGACGCCCTTCACGGCGGAGATAGCCATCATCATGATGACGACAGCAACAACAAACATCTTCATTTTAATGCCCTCCATTTTCTTGTAGAAATTTGGGAATGTGAGAAAAAGAGAGACTCTGAAATTCCTATTTGAGAGCAAAATGCTGAAAGGCAAATGCAAAGAGGAACTGCAGAGATTCTACTGAAGGAAGATTATGGGCTAATATGGTGTTTATATATAGCTGCTGTGTGGTGTAGGAAAGCGAAGAAGAATTACGGACAGGTTGAAAGTGCGATACCACATGTGAAAGTATTTTAATTATGTTGGACATTTCAAGTCTTTAATTAGTGATTGACAAGACTTATTTTCTCCTTACTTATAAGTATCTAAATCCAAAATAACTTATTGATAAATGAAATAATCTCTGTTCATATTTCAAAATGTTAAAGCAAAACTTTACTAAATTTTTTGAATGTTTTAAGCAGTAAATTTTACTTATATTTGATAATAATATTTATTTGAATGAACGATATATTGAACTAAAGGAAAAAGCATATGAATAGATTGATTTTACAAAGAATATTGGTTTTTTAACAAAAGAAAGAGGGTTATAATAGGTTTGTACTGGAATGGAACACATAGGAATATAGTAAAATTATAAATAAAAAAATGCATATAGCTGAGCTCAACTACTGTTGAAGTGAAGCATCATTTATGAATTAATATTAGAAATTGAAGCTAGAATTTGGTGTTTCTCTATTGGAAAATTTTGTTACCATTTATTGGTTCCAATTTCCAAATGAAGCGAACAAAACTTGAACTATATTAAATTTTATCTCTGAGTATCTAATACTAACATTGTTCACACCCTTCTAACAGCTCATACTTTATTTTATTTAGAAGTTAAAGTTTAGTTAATTAATTAGTGTAGTACTTAAATTGTGACAGCAAATAAAGGAAGGGCTGCCCGCTGCCCGAAATTTGACAGAGTGTAACATGGAGTGGTTTATAAAGTACATCTCTTATTAAAATACTGGCGGGTCACCACCTCAAAGCTGTCTTCTTAACCACTGTTTTGTTTTTCTTGGAATTTTCACTAGTATAAACTTTTCAAAAGTTTATTAGCGAAAGGGATAGTGGTCACCTTGTGCTAAATTTACTATTAGTGATTTCTTTTTCTCCTTTTTCTTTAATATTGTGAAAATGCTACATGAAATTATTTGCAAGCATAAATTAAATGATACTTTAATTTTTTGGTTAATTTAATTATTATATATAGAAATGATATATTGTCAATGATTGATCTGCTAGGTAAATGACGGACAAGGAAACTACTGTTAACCTATCTTAGAAAAAATAATAAAGGAAAATATATGAATATATAGGCGAAGCGAAAGTGCAATAAATATTCCGGGAATAGTAAAGGAGTACGAGAATAACATAGCTTATGAATTACGTAAAAGGGAAGGGAATTGACTGTTTATACGCAGTTTCTTGAATACTATGCATTCATTGAGTTAGTGTAAAAAGGCAAATCAAAGTAGGTGTAAGTTGGTATTTTTTGACGTTTGAATTCTTGTAATATTCGGCATCTCTGATAAAAAGTAATGTGAGCAGTTCATGCGCATGCCACATGATTATTAAACAAAGAAAATAAGTTGAACATAAAATATGAAAATTTGATTAACAACGGTGGAGCTAAGATTTCAAACTTATGAGTTCGGGATTCTAATCATTTGAAGTTATTGAGTTCTAAATTAATAGTTTATACATATTCAATAAAATTTTAAAGACAAATATAGAGTTCGAATTAAAATTAGTGGGTTCGGCCGAACCCGCTCCCGACGCTCTAGCTCCGCCCAGGTGATTAACAAGTTTAATATAATTTCCACTTCATTTACAGTATTGACTAACAGTTTATAGTAAGAAATTAATTTGAGGTGAACAATGTAATAAGTGATTTGATTGTCTTGCACATAACAAAATTAATTCGTGACAATAAACTTGTATTAACATCTTAATCACACAAAAGT